TGTATTTGTAAATTTATGTAAATATAGAGGAGTACATCTTCCAACCACGTCATTAGGCCATAAGCAGTGCCTTCCTAGGATGTGATTGACTGTGTCCCTGCCCTCAACGCACATGCATCAGTAGGCAGCGCTGGAGAAAAGTTCCATTCATTCAAGAAATGTCCATCCCTCGTCTGGCATGCCTAACTTGGGAGTCTAGAACAGCACCATATCCATAAGAGGCCGGAGGACATTGATGGGAATGGCCTGTTGACAATATGGAACAATGTCTGGACATCCCTCAGAGGAGGAGGCGTAGCCACCCCTGGAGGAGGCCTGACACTTGGGGTGGGGTGGGGGCAGTATTGTTGGCGGGGCAGGAAGTGATGATGTCTGGGGAAGGATGCACAGGGCAAAGAACTCTCATTGCCACCCCTGCTGCTCTTGACTGGTGTGGCCTGGGGGTAGCGCTGAGGTGGGAACCCCAACCGTTGAGAGCCAACACAGGTCCCCTGTAGGCCACTCAAGTCAAGGGCTGACAGACATCTTTGGTAGCTCAGAGCCCTGAACTTGTCCTGTGTCTGACATGACTCATACTAAATCGTGTTAGCCTTATACTAGGCAGCTCATCTCACTTGATTCTGGGACATTAACACTGTACCTGCCAGTGGGAGCCATCCCATCCCCAGGTGCTCCTGCTGGAACTGGGGCCAAACAGAGTCCCAGAGCTCCTTGGGGTACTTGGTGACTCTAGGAGTGAGGTGGAGGTGGGAGGCATGGGAAGGGGGTATAGAGGGTCAATTGGGCACCCAGAAGGGAAGAAATAGTGACCAGGTCCCCTTCTGACCTGTCCAGGCCTGGGACACCCCTCCTTGATGGTTCAGCTGGCCCTGACCAGTCTTAGCCACTAGACAGGACTTAGAAAATTTTGAGGAAGGCATCTCTGGTGAACAGGTCCATATTTGGGGCACCCTGGCTGGACAACCACCAGTAGGGGCTCAGGACCCAAGGTCCAGGGCCCAAGTCAGGGACTGACTTGGGTCTAATGATCAGACTGATGTCAAATACATGTTCTTGGAGATGGTCCAGACTGGAGATCTAAATCTGGGAGCCATTAAGATTCTGAAAATGGCTTTACGGAAGAAGGAAGAAGTTCTGAGGCTTCCCAAACTCCACCACCTTAATAAAATGTGAGAAGGCGGTTCTCTCCCTTCCTAGGTAGATGAAAAACTCTGGACAAGAATTATTGGCTTGATGGTTTCTAGAACTTCCATAGCATATACAAACCTTCAAAGAACTCCAAGTCCTGAAAACAGAAACGGTTCATAATATGAAAAACCACAGACCCAAGTCTCCCTAGGAAGCTGTACCTGTGGAGAGGAATGACGTTTTTCATTTCCCAGTGCCAGGCCGAGTCTAGGCTAATAACATTTTCCCTGCCCTCTGAACAGTGTTATTTGTTTTAGTCTGCTGTCTGTGTAGTTAGGGGAATAATTAATTAACAGTTAAGTCTGCTGGAAACATACCACCAAGTGGCACTCGGTAAATATTTGTTCACAATGATGAGGCTATTGCTTATCTATACCATTAAATTAGAAACAGAAAATTGTGGAGTTTTTCTCAGCAAGGTGTTAGAGATTTGACATCATATAGATGAGAAAATTGAAGGTCAGAGAACGATGTGATTTATCCAATGGTTGTAACACTACAGTAGGGGCCAGGCAAGCCTTGCACCCCAAATTCCTGATTCTAAATTTATTCATTGCTTTTTTCTGCTACATTGCACTAGTGTTTGTGGAAAATGGCTGAGTTCCACTAAGCAAATTCATATGTTGAGACATTAACCTTTACAAAGAACAGTAAAATCTCATTAAGTCAGAATAATTGGAAGAATGGCCAGGATGAATCGGCGGGCGGGGGGGGGGGAGTTTGAACTATTTTCAGAGATACTCAGCTTTTTCCTTTCAAGGCCATGGAGTAAATTGGAACAAATAACCACAAAATGAGGCCGAGTAGGGGTCTCACTGAACTTGTGTGAAGGAATAAAGAGGAATAATTCATAAGTGGTATATTAACAGTTTGCATGTAAGTGACAACTACTAAAAATATTATAGGCATTTGGAGAAATAGATTTTTGTTAAAAATAAGCTTAATGTTTCCCTTGAAAACTCCTTGCAAAAATTTACATAAGGACTTCAACGAATATGTCAGTCAAACCATGTGTTAAAATGATCATGCCTTTGATTTAGTGGCATGTAAATTAACCTGTTTGGTTTTGCTGTACTCAAATTGGCATTATTTCTATAGCTCACAGCAGCACGAATGATGACCGCTTCTCTCCCTTTCCATCCCTTTGATTTTTCCATCTGTCCAAGGCCAACAGAATGCCTCTAGCTGCTCGAAAACTGGAGGCGTTTTCTATCTACTCCTTTCCCTGCCCACACTTTTCACCAAGTGACCCTCCCCTTCCTGCCACCATCTGTGAGAAGTCTTCATATTTGGCTGTCTGTCAGGTTTTCCGTCCACACACTAACATTAAGTTCTTCCTGAAGATGTTTAGAAATGCTGGGCCTTGCTGTCTCTAACTCTGCTGTTTAGCCGAACTGTCAGACATACTACTCCTGAAGCAGTTGGTAGGCATCTTCTGTTTTTCTCTCTTCAGACTGACTTCTCCTTCCTTTATTGTGCAAGAATTAGGGTTGTCTACCTGGCAGGTAACACATAAAGGCTCCACACTGGGCAAGGGATGTTATCCACTGACAGGAGGCTATTTGGGAAAACAGTCTGTATAATGCTCTCAGCCAAGCTCCGTGTTCAAAGCTGGGGGAAAAGGAAGATCTCTGGGGAAAATGGGCACATATAAGGCTTTCTTTGCTGGGTGAGTTGTTCTGGATGGGGTTCAAAGATCCATGTATCTTAGGAAAAAACTGACCAAAACGGAAAGGAGGGCTACAGATATTTCTGCCATTTGATGTTAGCTTCTTCTGATGAAACAGCTTAACGTCAAAGCAAAATAGAGCTCCTCAGGCTTTCCCCACTGGTGACCTGCTGCCCCCCTCTGGAGAAGTTGGAAACTGAAACTTTGGTTCCTTCCTGTCGGGTTCTGTCTCCGTTGTGGATCTGTATTCCCATGGCTTCCTTCGGAAAGTCTTTTGGCTTTGCTACAGTGTAAAGAAGCGCAGGGCCATACACTGCACACCATGTGTTTAGTGAATTTACACTGACTCTGAGTGATGCAAAGATTTTTATTTCCTGGCTGGAGGATGAACTCCTTAGTTTTGTGAACTATATGTCCCGGTCCCATTGTCCTTCTACCAACAATCCAAACTAAAACCATCTTTCTTGGCAGTCTGGGACTAGTAAGAAGTCATTTCTGACTTGGCGTCCTGCCTTAGGAATCTTGTCCTTAAATGGGAGAGTTTGGATCCCTGATCTCCAGGGTCCCTTTGGCTGATTCTATAAAAATACCTCTATCAGTGAGAAATGTATATTTAACTTGAAGAAACTCCTAGGTATTAAAAAAAAAAAAGCCTTTTATTGAACAAGATTTCTGGAAATAAATGCACTTGGTGGAATGGTTGAATTTCAAAAAAAATTCCAAAATAGAAAATCTGCCGCTAGGAGGCAGTGTTGTCATACAGTTTTAGTAAAGCACATCCAACATAGGTCTTTTGAGGGAAATATTTTTTAAATAGAAGGATATGAAAATGATTAAATCAAAGGACGTGAGAATGGTAGAAATATATCATGTTTTGTGTGGCAATAAAGTTCTGAAAAGAGTATTAAAGGGGCATCCATCTTACATAGTAATAGAACAGTAAGTTGAATAAAAGTTTCTATCATCTATGAATGAAATGAAATATTGAACCTGATTTGAGAGTGAGAAATGGTAGGTAGCACTTTGTAAAAAAAAAAAAATAGCATTTACTCTCCTTTTATTGCTCCTCAGCCACATGCAGCCTCTGAAAGGCATGCCTCTTTGGCTCTATTTCTGTGCACTGGAGGATGAGGGGTGGATTACTAATTATCTTGGTAAGAAAATTCTAGAAATATCTTTCCCCTGAAATACTGCTGCCTTCTTTAAAACTCAAATACTTGCGAAGTAGGAAAGTTGAGATGAATAAACTGAGGCACAGAAATTTCATGTAAAACTTAAGTAAATTACAGAATGGAAATAAGAATCAAATACAAATAGCTGAAGAAATTAGTTTTGAAACAGCTAAACAAAGAACGAGTAGAAAGCATCATGTACTTTTTCTTTTTCAAGATTTTATTTATTTGACAGAGAGAGACACAGCGAGAGAGGGAACACAAGCAGGGGGAGTGGGAGAGGGAGAAGCAGGCTTCCTGCTGAGCAGGGAGCCCGATGTGGGGCTCGATCCCAGGACCCTGGGATCATGACCTGAGCCAAAAGCAGATGCTTAAGAACTGAGCCACCCAGGCACTGCAGCATCATGAGCTCTTAATAAGAATAGCCATGTTTATGTTAATATCATCTTGGGGCTTGAGCTCTCATTGGAGACTAGATGTTATCAGGTAAAAATATCATAGTTCTCAATCTAGGAAACTTAAGAGTTTGGAGAATCCCTATTTTTTTTTTTTTTTTACTTTTTTTTTTTTTTAAGCTACCAAGGTAACACAAGCTCATTGTTCCTTGGCCTTACTGACTGAAAGCTTTTAGGTGGATCCAGTTTTGGGCGGGATGGAGAAAGCCTAGATACTGATGTCTTCTTTCCCCTCCCCATTGGTCTGTATGTTTCTTGGTGATGGTAATGGGTCAGGAAAGAGAGAACAACTCTTTAACTCTGAGAGGATGACTCTGGTCTTTTGATACTTACTGATGATGTCTCATATGATTGACTTTCTAAGAACAAACTTAAAGAAATAGCAAAGTCCCCGTATCTGAAGTGTTCCATGACAGTGTTTTTCAAACTGTTGGGTCATAAAATCAATTTTAAGGGTCTCAGCAGGCATGTTTTATCAGTGAGATAGGATGGAAAGGAATGGAATAGAAAATACCAAAATGGCTCACACATTTTATTTCAGTGGTCATATGGTACGTGTTTTACTGGGTTATTACATAACTTTTGTTTCTTACTAAGGGTCATGTTCAACAACTTGGAAGTCACTTTCCTATAGCACTCTATCTGTCTCTGTCATGTCAACTCACATCTCATCCTCTTTGCTAGCCTACAAACTAACTAAAGTGGGAATGAATATCTGAATTATTTCTCATTGGCCACAGTGATTTCCCTAATACCTTATGTGTGGTATAGGGAACCTGTTTAAGATTTACTTCTTACTTATTTTGCTTCTAAGTAAATTTCTAAAATATACTTTTAAAATTGTCAAGTGCTATTTGTAGTTCTGTTTTGTTTAGCTACTACCAATTTTATATGTAGCCTGGCATTAACATAAGCATTACTTTTAAACCATCTTTTCCTTATTTTTGGGAACTGTGGCCCAAACATAGAAATCACTAAAAATGGGTTCCTTTGAGGCTACTGTGCAGATTTAAATTTCTGTTTTTCGAAGAGCTCTTTCAGCTGCTGCTCAGTTGTGGCTTCTTTCTGCTGCATCAGCTCAGCTGTTCCTTTGGTCACTCCCCAGGCGTCGGGCTTTGACATTGAAGGGTTGTATGGCCTGCCTGAGGCTATCCGAAGATTCTCCCAGTATTCCTTCCTGGCCCTGGGTGAACAAAACACACAACATTAGACTCCTTCCTGAGTATCAGAGTCTATGTGTCACTGGGCTAGAATACCTCTACAGAGCTGTCTTTGGACTCTTGAGAGGATATCCATTAAAACACATTTATTAATGGACTAAAGCTTTTTTTCAGGATCTATCGGTCTAAAATTATTTTGAAATTATTTTTTTAATTTAATTTTTATTTTTAATTATTTATGTATTTATTTTAGAGAGAGAGAGAGAGAGCATGAGCGGGAGGGGCAGAGGGAGAGGGAGAGAGACTCTCGAGCAGACTCCATGCTGAGCACAGAGCCTGATGTGGGCCTAGATCTCACCACCCTGAGATTACGATCTGAGCTGAAACCAAGAGTTGGATGCTTAACTGACTGTACCACCCAGGCACTCCTGAAATTATTTTTTTAAAATATCTGCATAGAG